GGTCGTCGTTGGTGTGAGGTCGTTGACGTTGGTGGGCGCTCGTTTTCGTCGGTGGGTGCTCGTGGGGGTGGGCGCTCGTTGACGTTGGTGGGGTGTGTTGGTGGGCTGTTCGTGGTGGTGAGTCCTCGTGGCCGAGCAGAGACGGCGAACGACGACCGATGTCGTCGTTCGCCGTCTGGTTGCCACGTCGCGACGTGGCACCTGTGGTTTGTGTTAAAAAGGAGAGTGGGTGGGGTGGTTGTTCCCACTTACCTGGGCTGGGCCCTCGTCACGCGTCGTCAGCGTCAGCGTCGTCGTCGTCGTTGTCGATGTCGCGGGCGGTCGTGGTTTGAAACGGTGGTGGTGGATGGTGATGGTGGTGGTAGGAAGGAAAGAACGACGTGGCAACGCTTCAGCCACACGTTTGACGCGGCACGTGCCTAAAAGCGGTATATACATACCTTTAATTTCTCATATAATAATGCCTTCATGGCTCAGTCGGCTTGAGCGCTGCTTACATTCACGAGGTCGAGAGTTCAATTCCTCGAGATGTAAAAAAATTTATTTTACTTACTTATAGTAAGGACAATGTATTCTAATGGTATAATAGTCATTAATTCCATTCCATGGAATCCATATGGACTGCTCCATGGAATCCATGTGGATATGCCTGCATTCCATATGGAATTTGATGGAATCCATATGGAATGGTGTTGGAGTCCATATGGAATTAATCATTCCATGACCATTCCAGCATCATTCCATATGGAATCCATGATGTCCATGGAATCAGAAACTGGCTGTGTCCTCAGCCAACATTGATTCCATGGATTCCATATGGAATTCTTCATGGATTCCATGGATTCCACATGGATTCCATATGGATTATACCGGGGAAGGTAAAGACCTCTCATGTGCCACCAGCATTCCGAACATAAGAATGCCTAACATCTAAAAAGGATGAGAAGCGAAACCAAGGAAGTGCATATCCACTCACGTAGAAGATAATGATACGATAGATGACGCGGTGCACTGCCTTTGTAATGTTACGGCGGGGACTTTCAGTCTCTGAGGCTGCGCTGCAAAGGCAATGGTTAACTCTGACTTTCATGGCAGACGTCTTCGAGGACGCACATCGCAACCAACTCCATGCCTTGGTAGGAGAAAGCAGCCAAAACAATTGCAGAAATGATCCCGAGGAACCTATCGAGATAAATATTCTTTACAAACCCTGGGCTAGCAAGCGCTCCTGGGTCCTTCCAGTACTAAATACCCCCATGAAATTCAAAACATTCAATATCTGCTGGACGTACCCTGAAGCCGATGCGGTCATGATCTGAACCACCTCCTAAATCGATAACGAGTCCAACGATGAGTAGCACGATGATCAACATAACTTCAGATGCGCAATAGAGTTTTCAGAAGAAATCCACAATCAGGAACAAGATGACCCACTTTTAATCGTGGAGAAGACAAATTCCGCTAATTTGCTTCTTTAATCAAGATAATTTGGAAGCCGTGGGTTGCGCCTACCTTCTCCAAACCATCTTTTGTAAGTCAGTGTGCGTCCACAGTAGGAAGTTGATGTTTCATCTCACCTGACGCCAAAGAGATTAAGGCTACAAATCAGAACCACAATGGCCTGCGCACTGCTCGTCAGCGCAACACAACTGATCATGATTCAATCTCACAATTGTGTAATAGGCAGCGTGATGGTTCTTCAAGAAAAACCGGGTCAGGCCAGTTTAACGTCGCCACTGAATCTTGCCGAACACTTACATTTTTATCCCAGTACGTCATCAGAATAACGGCTGCCTTGATTTCGACAGCCGTTGAAATACTGTAATATAATGAGACACCAGCGTCAGGACTCAGCAATCAACGACGGGGACTTACGCATTGGTATAAAAATAGTTCTGACGGTGATTGGATAATTCAATGCTGCCGGGAACGAAAAAAAAGTAGTTGACTCACCCAGCCGACAGCGAAGCCTAGAGCGGGGTCTACCCATCGCTCAGCTAAGGTCCATGTCAATGGTGTAGCAGACCTCCAATGTCGATTCAGTGGACATACCGAAATGCGGAAAGGTACCTGAGATCGGAGCCCAGGTTGTCATTTCGCAAAAGGAGCAGAGCGACCTACCCATTATTCAGTTCGCGTCCATGTAGAGGAGTTGAGGTTTCACTTACGCATACGCGACGCTACCAACAAGAGCGTAGGCGAGCAATGCTCCCAAAGGACCGGCGTGTTTCAAAGCGAGTCCTGAAGCAAAGAACAATCCTGTTCCAATGGTCCCAGCGATCTACATTGAACCAGAAGGCACTGGGCAACGATGCAAACATGGAAATGCAAAACTTACAGCAATCCTATGAATTCGATAAGCGAGCTGAAATGGAAGATGGAGGTTGGCCTACATTTGAATGTGACGCTGTTTGAGACATCGTTGAAGGTGACCGGTTTGACTTCTCCTATGACCTTGTCAGTGAAGGACTTTCCAAGCATTTAAAAACGTGCTGCAGGTGGGATTGACTGGAATGCTGTGGTGATGAGTAGCTGAGAGAGTGGTTTGTTTCGTGGCTGCATCTATGTCATCGGAGGACTCTTAAGGGCAAATTAATAAACAACAAACTGCGATCCAAAAGAGCTCCGATCTGACTCGCCGCCTACAGGTTCCATGTCTGTGTCAGACATGGTGGGTTGAAGAGAGGTGAAGAGGTAGAGAGAAAGAAAAGTTTGGCGCGCGGCGTGTGAAAAGCCCATCGAAGGGACACTTATATGGGCTATATGGGCGCTTCCTTGTCCAAAGGAGGGCGTGGCTATGGAGCGGCAAATCTGAAGGATGAATGTCCCACGGAATGCGAAGATTGATGATTGAGGGCTGTTCAACCTCCTGGCAATACGCACTTAAGAATAAACGATGCTGCATCGCTCTGCAAACCCCGTCAAGAAAAAGTTATAGAACCCTTCCTCGATCGGGTTAACTTTGGGGGGACATCCGAATCACTTCTGACACTCAGCGTTCCTGAATATGCAACGCAATTAGTAGACGTTGAGGCAAATAGTCAACACAAACCACATTCGCAACCGCTACCTGACGTCACTTGATCAAAAGATCGCTCTTCCGGATTCGAAGAGGAACAGCTTCATCCGCTTCTCCTGTGCAGAAAGCGGTGGTAGGTAGTTCATTGCTGTGCAGAGTCTCGTCAGCCAGGGATGGTGCGTCAAGGCCGGCGACGCGCTCTGTCCTGACTTCCATTGAAAATGCTCAGGCACCAACGCGTTGTTAAAGATGAAATTCAACGGCGATCATCATGAGTTGATCGTGAGGCCCAACAGGGAGAGTAGCCATTGGGCGACTAACGAACGAAGAAAACCCTTGAGGCGTCCTGTAGTTTGGCAGTCCATGATACATAACTCGATGTAGTGTGAAGTCATACCTTAGTTCACGAGTGCATGAAACAACCTTGAGAGCAAGCTGAAGCTCTCAAGAGTCGACGCGACGCAACGCGCGTGACCGTTTTCGACCCCGCTGTGATCCTACGACCTCTGATCCAAACAGCTCCGGGCCGCCGCCGCGCAACTTTGACTCGGTACACCCTCGCAAACGCTGCTTCAGAGTCGGATGATAGAGACGATAAAGAGAGAAATAGGCCCCTCAGGTTTCTGAGCACCGTGGCCGACGGAACACTGACTAGGTAGACAGTAAATTCGAGTTGGATGGATGGCCGGGACTCCTGAGTCCTGAGTTTAGGCGAATCAACCTTCGCACATGGTCAGTCAAACCCCTCCCTTTATCCTATATAATACCACTTACTGGTGATGGTGATGATTATAAGGTCGTTCTCCCGCCTAACCGCCTTTGAAGTGGCCCGAATCAAACATTGGTGCTGATATTTTCGGCTTAAGATGGTGAAGGGCACCCCAAAGTCCTGAAAAGTAGCCCAATTTCAGCGAAAACGTCCGAATTGTAGTATGTATGTGGTATATATATGGCGTAAATTGTACAGTAAAAATCCTCAAAGTCGTGAATATGTAAATGTCCTCGAATGTCCAGGTGTGCTTTTGGCAACAATCTCAAGCACAGCCATAGTGTGTACGACACGTCCTCTAAGCGTTACTGGATGACTTCATTAAAGGTTTCCCAGCCTGAGCAAGCAAAACACCGGGATGAGCAAAGTTCAGGGTGTAGATCGCCAAAACGATCATTGCTCCGTCCAAAACATCTAAATAGCCAACATTAATAGGTTAAAGGAGGAGGGAAGAATGACGCACTGAAATAAACTTGCGTCCCGATGATTCGCCCAGTCCAGCCGTCACTCAGCTCGATTGTACGATATACGGCCCTTGAATATGCATTAGATCGAAGGTAATCACTAAAGTCGTAATACCATATGCCCACGTACCGAATGAAAAGGCATGTTGTGTTAAAGACCAGAGCTAAGCTCATGTGCTTGAGATAACGATCAAAGGTCCCATGCGTTACATCACCCGTGTCCAATCTCACAGGACGTTTCTTGAAGTAGCGGATGAAAAACTCCGTTGCGCAAAGGGTGTAGACGGTGATGGTCACTATTTTGTCGAATCTTTCAATATATCATAAGGGATTGTGCGTGGATGACTTCACGTACGAAGTTGGAATACAATCCCTCCAAGCATGACATTGCCACCCTAGATGAAACATCGGTCAGAGTAGGATAGAGGGTGCCATAAATATGATACACACCACTCTGGGGTCCCGACCATTGGGAACTGCGGTGGCGGCCAAGCCACCTCCCACACCTTGTACAACTAATGAAATAACATCCTGACAACGATCATCTATATGGGTTTTCGTTTTCCCCTAATAAAATGTACTTACACATGTGCAGAAAAGAATTGTATCTATAATTCCAATTATTAGAAAATCGGGGGCAAGAGGCAGAGTATCAGGACTTACACCACTTTGGGCTGAGTCGGCTGTAGCTTGTCCCAAGGCGTTGGATGATTGAACCGAAAATAACGAAGTTAGCGGCGAGTAAGGGAGTTGGGGCGATGATAGTTGCGCATATCCTGAAACAATTGTCAATGAGCCATTTGCCACAAGAGGGGCACAACAGATGGACTTACTGCAACTGGAATGGAGAGTCAAGGGATGGCGAGAAGTGGGACCACAGTCGGCCTGACCAACCAGCTACCTCAAGCGCTCCGCAAAAGCAGGCTGTCGGTATGAGCCACTTCATGCGGTAATAAATCGATTGTGCAGCATGCGCCACTGCAAAAAGGTTCAGTTGGGAGAAAGAGAGAAGTTTAAGTTTGAACATACGAGTGGATATGGAGAACAGCACGATGAAGACGATTGCCACATACAATGTCGGGACATAGTTGTACGGGGACCCCTCGTGATGAGGGATCGCAGAGGGCGACGATACTGCAAGCATATATGAAGTCAACAAAATTGTGGCATCTACATATAAAAAAAAGACAATCATACCAGTCATGTTTGAAGGCATCGATCAATTCAAGAGAGATAAAATGAATTGAGGTGGAGAAGGTTGGCAGACTCGACAAAAAGTTCCCGGATTAAAAGGGTGCTTTCCGTTCATTTCCTTCCGTAGTTAATAGACCAGTTTGGAAGGATGAGTGACGAGTCCACTATCGCAATAGGCTGGTTGAGTCATGGAGGCTGTGAATGAAATATCCGTTCCTGGCATCACCGTCAATCACGGACGATGATAAAGAGTAAGTATTTTCCACAAAAAGGCGGACTTGAGGCGTAAGTTCTAGCTGTAACATGTCGAGGTACGTATCACGAGAGGAAAACGCCGCAAAGGTGCCTCGTTTGGTGGTGGGGTTGCAGCACAGGAATAAATTATGGGTGGGCGGGGTGTAAAGTGTGTGGGCGTTAGGCTCCAGGCTCCCAAACTGGAGTGGTGCGTAGGCCCAAAATGAAATAATTAAATTCCTGTAAAGCCCAAGTAAAGCCGCCTCAGAAAAGGAAGTGATTGGAGTCCGTTCGAGAAAGTTTTGCTGTGCATGTCGCTGGACTTGATATATCGGAGGCAGTAGGGAAAGTGCACGGGAATAAAGACTCGAAGCTGACGACCCTATTTGTGAGTCGTCAGCGCTTCCAATCTTCGTTGTCCCTGGAAGCCCCGGTGGTGATCCTGGAGCCAGTATGACCCATATCCACAATTCCTTGACAGAATTTCGCGTGTACAGAAGGATGTGTAGGAAGAGGCGGTTCAGATCCGTTTCCTTTTGGACAAGTCGACGTCTGAATCAATTCCAATTACAGCGTCGGCGTGCGGCAGAACTTGAGTGAGGGCTATGCTCAACAAATGCTCAAGGTAACGCATCCAAATTCGAAAGATGAAAGTGTGATTGGACCTGGAGTTCCATGGCTAGAGGAAGCTGGAGCGGAGGACCTTGGACGTTGGACTGCAGGAAGAACGATGTTATTTACCATTATTTTCATGCGCCCGAACCCGAACAAGCTCCAATGCCATTGCCCGAGCGCTCAAAATCCAATTGCTTTTCCTGTCATGATCGTTCTAAGTACATGTATATACTGCAAAATTACTGCTAAGTAGTGAACCCATTCAGTTCCCAATTGAAACTATCTATTTGAAAACCTTCATGAAAAATCTTGAGGCTTAGAATCGAGCCTCCTCCAGTTCAGCTTGCTCTTCAAAAACAAGGCAAGCCACGTCAACGCGAGTAGCACAGGAACTTCAACAAGAGGTCCAATGGTAGCAGCAAGTGCTTGTTCCGAGTTGACGCCAAAAATCGCAATTGCAACGGCGATGGCCAATTCCTAGAACATGCTATCATAGTAAGAGAGGTACGCAAATGAACGTGACGTAAACTGACGAAATTATTGCTGGAAGCGGTGAATGCTTGTACGACAGCCAAATCGTATCCGAAGAGGCGGTCCTTTGTTGCCTCCCGTCTTGAGAGATAAAACATCAGGGCAAACGTGCATGAGAACATTATCGTGAAATAGAGGATCAACGGTACGAAGACGCGAAAGACAGGACGTAGGTTGTGGATGATGTGATGGCCTTGATAAGCGAACATGACGAGGATCGTGTAGAGTAGGCCGAGAAGCGCAAGTGGTGAAAAGAATGGGAGGAATTTCTTGTTGAGGAATTCTTTGCTCGTGAGCGCCCAAACGCCGTAGCGGGTAATAACGCCCGCAACAAGCGGGATTCCAAGGTACTGGAAGAAACAGAGGTTACAATCATAGCAGAAAGGAAGGAGAGGGGTGGCTCACAATCAGCACAGAGATGGCAGCGTCTCGATAAGATACATGCGCGGTATCTTGTCCACCAATAACGTTGATGAACAGCAGTGCAAAAGGCGAAAACAGCACAATTTGAAGGACCGCATTGAACACCACAAGGATAGCGCAGTAGTCACCATCGCCTCTCGCAAGTTGGTTCCAGATCATGACCATGGCAATACATCGAGCGATACCAACCAGAATCACGCCTGTGCGGTATCCCGGTAGGTCGGGAAGAGTGGCCCAGGCGAGCGCGAGCATCATGAATGGCCCTATAATCCAATTTAGAACGAAGGAGATGCCGAGGTGGATCCATAGGCGCGGAGACGAGAATACTTTTGGGAGGGTTTCGTATTGAACCTTGGTTAGGATAGGCCACATCATGACCACCAGACCGACGGCAATAGCTAGAAAACTTAGGTTCGGAATTAAAAACATGGTTGATATTTGGGAACAACGCACGAACGGAGACGCTGTCGAACCTAACAGTGTCAAAAGCGTCGCGAATGTGTGGGGCGAATTCGCCAATGACGACCCCGATGATCATGAATATGATGATGAGAGGAGTCAATAGCCTGTCTAAAAGCCCAAGCTCCTTGAATATAGCTATATGAGAACGTGGTAAGTAGGAAGTTAAAGAGGATGCATCCACTCAATCCTCACCTTCTGGTCTTATCTGGGGACCCTCCCCATTCGGAGCCCATTGCGTCGGTAATGGAGAGTTTGATTCAAGTTTTTCCTTCATAGAAGTAGGGAGAACTTTATCGGAGGTATGACTGAGTTGCTGGATGTGAGAGGGCTGAAGTAGGAGGCATACTTGTTGTCGACAAAATATAGTTGCATGAAGAGTTTGATTTTGATTTTGATTTTGAAAATCTCGATCAGTCACGGTAACGTCAAGTTACGCGTGACAACTGGAATCCTCAACGTGCACTTGAATTCATACAGTGTACGCCAGGAAATCAATGCTATAAAACATGCAAAAAACACACAAAGAAAGAAAATACAACAGAACACGACATACTTAATGCAAAGACAATCCAGAAAATCAGGGGTATATCTCCAACATACCCAGGGCCAGCCCAAACCACCAAAGTCCACGTACATGCCCAAGCTTATACGCTCGGCAAATTCTCTTTATCCCCCAACACCCCCCTCACCTTCTGCACCCCAAAAAACTTCACAGGCGCAGGCGCACGCGGAGGCGACTCAGACATCGGAAGGAGCTGATTCTCAACCTCAATCTCATCAAAACTCATATCCGTAACGCCCCACTCCTCCTCCGGCATCACCTGCTCCAACAAGCTAGGCTGGGCCTTCAACTCCGCACCCCCCAATCGCATGGGAGAGTCCGCCTCGATGTTGAATTCCGACTTGCGATTCGCCAGTACGTTTGCGAGATAGGACGACGCCAACGACTGCTTTGCTTGTTGGCGTTCGGCGAACGCAGCGGCCGCGCCTCCTGGCGTAGGCTTTGCGGGCATCAATTTGGAAGAAGGGGGGAGGGTCAGCCCCAAGCCCAGAGAATCGAATTTGGAAACGAAGGCTGTGAGGGCTCGACGTTCATCCTCCAGCTTCGTCCTCGACTGAATGGGGGGCACAGTCAAGAACGGAAGAGATAAACAAAAATGAAAAGTGCCATACCTTCTTCTCTTTATCAAGCTCCTTAACCAGAACCTCAGCCCAACGTTCCTTCTCCTCCCGTTTCCTCACCTCCTCATCATACTTCTCCACCCACTCCTTCTCCACGTCCTCCCGGACGGCACGCAATGGCTCTCCAAGATTCTCCTCGTACCCAGCGACAACGATCTCCAATTCCCTAATGGTCTTGCTCTGCTCTGCGATAAGCTTGTCTTTGTCACTCTCTGGGGCATTCGCATCAAGTGGTGGCCGTGCAGTCAACGCCGCTTCAAGAGAAAGAATCTGCGTCGCTTGCGACTCTAGCTGTAATCGCGCAGCCAACAACTCTTGTTGAAGCTGCAGGGAAAAATTAGGGTACCGAACTTTTGACGCGACTCAACCGGACGTACTTGGTAAGGAGACATGTCAAAGTCAACTTTGACAGGACTAGCAGGTCGAGAATCGTCTCCTTTAACTTCATCCACCGTCTGACTCGTAAGAATAAGCTTGGTCAATTGTTGGATGCGACCGTTAAGGTCCTTCATAGCCTTCGACTCGTCCACTTGCTGCAATGACCACCATCAGTCACTGCATAGCTCAAAACGGGAAGGGGAGACACAAACCTCTCGAGCAGATAGCCTGCGAGAACGGACGGGAACCTCAGCCTCCCTCTCTGCCAATCTCTTCTTCAGATCCTCAATTTCCCTTCTATATCGCTCAATGAGAGCTTCGGTATCTACGACCTCCTTCTTTTGTGCGTGAAGCTTTATTGTACAGAAAGAAGATCAGAACAAAGGACGGTACACAAGAAACGAAGACAACAAACCTGGACGTTCTTGATCCGCTTGGCGAAAAGCAAAGTGCTTGTGCTCTCAGCAACGGCATTGACGTCGGGGTTGATGGTGCAAATAACGCTGATACGAGCGTTTCCGGAGAGCGAAGGCTGAAGCATCCGGGTTAGCTTGGAGTTGCGGTAGGGGACATGGTCGCTGTTATGGTAAGATGAGGACGAGGTGAACAAAAACTCAAGGTCGACTTACCTCTTATTCTTCGCAGCGTTGTCGGCTAAAGTTCCGATTACGGTTCCAAGTGTTAAAAGACTGTTACATGGGTGTTGGAACATCATACTTGGATTAGGGACACGCGAACCGACCTTGTGTTGATATATTTCCCCTCCCTGGTACGTTCTTTATCAGAAGTGGCCTTCTCCGAACCAGCGAGATCAATTAGACTCTATAATATCTGTGAGCAATGCTACATATCTTGATCAAACCGTTAATACTCACGAGGACTGAAGTTTGAACGCTTCTGCCTCCTCTTGCTTGTAGCCTTGGACCACCGGGTCCAGGAGTTTGCCTCCCATTAAGCCCAGGGGTCTGTCGCCCATTTAGACCTGGGGTATGTCGTCCGTTCATCGCAGGACTGGAGGTTTGAACCTCGTCATCATCATCTGACGAAGTTCCACTGCCCCGCTCCCGACTCTCAACCACCAAGCGGAAAACGCTGTGACTTCGGCTACTCCTGTCGTTCCAGTCCGTACACGCAGTCCGCCTGTTACCTTCGCCACGCTTGAGAACTTCTTTGACGCCTTTGAGACTTGTCACCACCTCTTCACGCAATGGCGTAAGGATAACGTCTCCACCGCTGCCGCCTTGGATTTGTACGGGATTGGCAGCCGCCATCGACGGAGGCGCGAGTAAATCGTGAATGGCCTCGTTGTATATCTCGAGATACGAGCAACGAAGGAGGTATTCGCGTGTGGGTGTTCGTCTGATGAAAGCGAAGACATCCCGCATCGCACGGGGGATGATACCTGGTTCGGCATCGTCTCCACTTAAAGTGAAGGTCTTTCCAGACGCTGTTTGTCCGTACGCGAAGATGACGGCGTTGTAGCCTTCCATGGCGGCTTGTACATGTGACCGGGCGACTGTTGTATAGATTGGTTTGTTCGGAGTGCCGGTGAGGATGGCGTCAAAGTTGAAGGCGGCGGCTGGGTTGCCTGATGAGGCGTTCTTGGCATGTGCGGGGTCGAGTTTGATGGTGTTGGAACCAAGAGTGGGTACCCACGCAGAAGTTAATTCTGTGGGACGTATTCTACGAGGCCTCGTTGAGCGACAGCCAGCATGATGAAGAAATTTTGAACATACCGAATAGATACCATGACTTTATCTTCTTTTCCATGGTCGAGCTCAGCTGCTCTGAGCCACGCCTCGTCAATCTCACCTGACACATCGCCAGGTTCAACCGACTGAAAATCAACCAAAACCTGCTCAGGGTCCACGTTGCTGACATCCATTTCGCTGGCTGCTGGCAACAAAGAGGGGCTATCCGCCCTACGTGGCGTCACAGGCGTCCTTGGACGGCTGGTCGTACCCTCTTTCTTCGTTGGAGTTCCTGGTACTGGCGCTAAGACCGTCTTGGTCTTGCTGAAGTTTTTGGAGCGAGATTCGACAGATAAAGGTGCCTTGTACTTCTTATGAGTAGAGGAAAGGAGGCTGGAGTTGCTGTTGGTGCGTGCTATACGCGCTGTGAGGTCGGTGGAGGACGTCGACGACGTCGAGGCCATGGAGAGTGGCCGTCTTGGAGTAAACGGCGCTGGACGGCCGAGTTTTGAGCCGGAAGGGGTGCTTGGAACGGCCATCGTTACTTGCTTCAGTACTCTTGTTTCGGAAAAAGGCGTCAAGAAAAGCTCGTCAATCCAGAAATCATGAAGTTGTGAGCAAAAGGCGTTCAACATGAACGAACCATCACGTGGTCGCGATACCGTTACGTAATCTTTCCTCGTCGATGTACCACAAATCTAGTCTCTTATACAGACCTTAGTATTACAAATGATAATCGATTTGTAATGATATAAGCCACAAATCTACCATCACCCAACGAGAACAACTTCTTGGCTCGTACAAAGTACTTATAACTTGAAGCAAAGCGTTTCTTTTTTTCAAGAAACACACACTGCCACGGTTTCTTTCGTTATGGGTTTCACGCACAATGGATGATCGATGACTGCCTCTGGACATCGCATCACGACAGTGGTGAGATCGCGCTCCATACCCCCTCTCGTTCTTACGCCATTGAACAGCTGTCCTTCAGGACCTTATAATTCAAGTAATAGCTAATTTTGCCAACAAATCAACCATCCTGATTTCTCTCCTCCTCTGCCGCCCTCCTCGTTGTAGGTTTCTTCAGTTCAAGATCCTATCAAGTAACATTCCTATCGGTTTGTGTTCGTAGGTATACGCTCTTCGTTGAGTTGAACCCTACCCGATGCTAATGTTTCTCGGTGTTCACCAGGTTATGTGCGGAAACGCTGTTCATGGTGACCACGCCATGACATTGACGCCCAATCCCTGCAGGTCTGCCGTAGATTCAGATTGGCGGGCTATTCACAAACTATTCATCGACATAGGTAAATTGTTTCTCAAGTACATACCACAAAAAATTGGATTAAGAGCACCAATGACCATCTCGCAGGAGATTGCTGTCGAATCATCATTCCGCAAACCTGTCTCGCAACGGCGCTAACATGCAGACGCTAAGGTACGATGCCCCTTCGACTCCTGAAAACGAAGAGTGACAAGGGGAATACTACTACCAGTCTCATAATCTTCCTTCTTTTAAATTGGCACTTACGGCGATACGCCCTTATAATTTTCGTGACAGGTTCACTTTGCGTTATGTCAAGTCTCAACATTTAAACCTTCCTCCGCGATGTTCAATCCTCTGGCAGCCTTCTTCCCTCGTCGCATCCACTGACAAAAAGTTGGATTAAGAGCACCAATGACCATCTCGCAGGAGATTGCTCTCGAATCATCATTCCGCAAACCTGTCTTGCAACGGCGCTAACATGCAGACGCTAAGGACCAGGTACGATGCCCCTTCGACTCCTGAAAACGAAGAGGGACAAGGGGAATACTACTACCAGTCTCATAATCTTCCTTCTTTTGGCACTTACGGCTATACGCCCTTATAATTTTCGTGACAGGTTCACTTTGCGTTATGTCAAGTCTCAACATTTAAGCCTTCCTCCGCGATGTTCAATCCTCTGGCAGCCTTCTTCCCTCGTCGCATCCACCGACAATGAATACCACCAACGTCCCGGCGCAGAGGGGCATAATGTGCACGCCTGAACAATCTAGTGACCCCCTGATTCACTGTCTAACGAGAGGGGACACCATTGGCCTCACAGTACGTGCTACAGTATCGACGTGATGTCAACGCTCAGCTTGACGGCCACTCTCCATGTAGCTTGACGCTCAAGCCGGCCTTCTCAGTTTGTTAGCTGTGCTGTATGTTTTTTTGATCATTATTGTATGTGCCCCGGACCTCCTCTTGTGGAAGAGAAACTGAGCGACCTTATTTCCCACTTGAAGCGCAACGTAATTTATCGTTTCCGGCGCCGCCGTGGTGCATCAGTGAGAACGTGGTACATCTTTGAGAAACCGACAGATATTCTCATGGTACGTCGCCAATTTTGCCTTCATACGGCACCGGTCATTCATTGAACTTTACACGCAGTTCTCCTTGTTCATCGCAGATTTATTGCAAGCCATCAGTTCGGTCATGGATCTAAAATGGGTTGGCAGTGGCCATGTCGAAGTTGGTGAATTTTGCTCAGCCCAAGGTGAATTTCTATCTGCATTGTCGCCCATATAATGCAAGTACAGACCTTATTATACCATCTTAGGGATCATTAAACAGTTGGGTCAGGTTGGGGTCGCACTGAGTACTCTTGTAAGATACCCCACTTTCTCCGTCATACTACTTTTTTACAATATGTGCCAGGCCATTGCTTTATATACCTTTATCGGTGTCTGGATGGGTATGCCAATACAATCAAACAGAGTCACTGGTGCCATCATTGGCGTCGTCTGGCTCTTCATTAGTCTCTTGACATTACTTGGTAATGTCTTAAATGATAGAGCCAGGGAAGGATTCGAGAGGCCGACTCCGGTAATCCCCTTCTATTCGACTATCTTTCTCTGTTGATGAATTTACTCTGCAGTACTGGTGCTGGATTGGGGAACCTTTCTTCATGTGGCGGCTCTTTGGTGAATACTTGTGGCTCTGGATCACACTCTTCATCTCTATCATCACCTACATCCCCCTCTATTTCTGGAGCTGCGGAAACATCACCTTTGATGATATTTCGTGGTGGAAGTTCACTATACATCGTGCTGACCATTCCGAAGAGCTCAAAGGTATCCGGCGCCATTCATTAATAATGCTTTTGTAAGTTAAGGACTTTGCCCCTTACCATCATAATTAACCTTATTCAATAGGTACCCAGGCATTTATTGCCTAATTACCTTACCGCTAAGTGTTGTGCGATGGATAGGATTCGTTCAGGAACAACGTGGACTTGTCAACACCATTCCTCCCGCTGCTACATTTGCTGTCATGACAATTTTTAGTCTAAGTGGTGCCTGCAATGCCATCCTCCTGCTCAAAACACGTCCGGAATCTGGCCTTTTTAGTAGGATCAACCACGATGATATGGGTTTCGCTCCATCTTCTGTGCCACTTCAACCAAGGGGAATATCAGCTTTGGATTCTACTGTTGAGGCTGAGGATAATGTTCTCGGAAGGCTCCCATCTCGTTGATCTGTCATTTGTTTTCTTTGTAAAGCAAACGGACATCACGCCTCCCGAACACAATCATTATCTTACTTTAATGTGCTCACGTGCACCATACCCCACGTTGACTACCTTCCATCCACAGACTCACAATATTTCCAATACACAGATACACGTTACAACTCGTCGGTCTTGGCTTTGTCCTTTCCCTTGTCTTGAACTGTCTATTTTGTTTGCTACCCCCTCAGTACTACACCTTTGTTACTTTTCAGTCACAGTGGTTATGTATCTATTATCGCATGTACATTCCACGGTCTATAAATGAAAAATATAATCACTACCCTTTCATTGAGTCGGCATGCCCGAAAAGTTGGCCTTGTTAACAACTCGCGCCAACACTTTGCGTCTAATTTTTTACGTGAGGTTCCCTTTGATTTTTCTGTGCAGCAGCCTCGCGTTATAAGCAAGTTATTGTTGGAATTCCGGGAGCTGTGCGAGCATGTGCAATGCGCCCGATACCCGGATTAAGGTACATTTATTGTTTTTCCGGGCATTTCATCTGTATCCCCATTTATTTCATACTCTACAGTATATATAGGAGAGTTTGTATCGTAGTTACTCATCCGTTTGCCTCTGTCACCTCCAGAGACAACCGGAAATCTTACTCCCCTGTTTCTCTTGATCACGAAGAATTGACGCTTGCTGATTTGATTTCAACAGTTATAAGAGTACATTGTAGCATGATTTCAAGCGCTGCACCAAAATTCTTTTATAAGGTATTCTTTAATAATCTTGTCGGCATTATTCGTACATATATGATGAGATCTATTATTGCGCCTACCCTGGTCAACAAAAATACACAAAGGCCTAGTGTGGTTGAAGTACGATGTCCCGATCCCCGCGCAAAAGTAGTCAAAATGCGTATCTAGGGTAATCCCCACATATCGGCGCACCTTGGCCGCTCAACAAAACCATTACTTGTTTTTCCAGCAATAGCCGAACTACTAGCCCACCAACCCTTCTCATCGGCCGAGAGGGCTGCAAAACCATTGTCCACAGGTTTACCAAAAATAATAGCCGAGCGTGTGTAAGTACTAGGTGGAAGTAGGTCATCGCAAGATAACACTGAACACCAGAAACGTTTGTGATTCCCCAAAAGAATAGCCGAGCGCGTGTAAAGAGGTGTTTGCAAGATAGTCACCACAACTTCCCCTATCCCAGGGACAGCGATGTATAAGGCAAGGTCATATGGCGCAATGACAGCATGTCGATAAGGCAATGTCAGAAATCAGACTGACGCAAGTCGTAACGTGGAACCGCCCACCAAAAACATGAGGCACGAGATCGTTAAATACGCGGTCCGCCGTTCTCCCACACCTAGCCTTTACCTTGATCTTATCGCCTCTCCTCTGGCGCGCTACTGACAACAACGGATTTATTGTAGATGAGCGCGATTGGCTCAAGTTAAGCGACACTTAGATAGAATGACGTGAGTATGGCAATAATCGGCGATGTGCTTATAACGCCCGCGCTTTGAATCCATAAAATCACTTCATGGACGTTCATTCCTTGTATAGGCCATGCTTTTTATGCCAGCTTTCTATAGATTCTGGTCCATAATTGTCATAGACCTCCTTCTTTCCCTCAGGAAGACGGACATATCCGGGCTTCGAATCCAACTTGACGCAAACCTGGGTCGTGACTCGTCGGGTCAGGGTAGTCGCGAGGATGTAAATATATAATTTCTTACCATGGTATCGGGAACTTCCAATTCAGGTGAATCGATCGCTGAAGCGAAGGGGTGAATTAAATCAGGCCTAGAAACACATGCACACCAAGTAAGGAATCATCAACGCGCGAATGAAGTGCCAAACAATGGCTATTTATCGTACCAAGTCTCGTCGTATAACCAAAGCATGGCCGAGCATTTAGAACAAAAGTTCCGTTCCGATGAAGCGATATATTCTTCCTTTGTGTCACGATTCATGACCGCTTTGTACACGCTGGAAAGTTGTTCATGAGAGACCAATCAATACAGCAACAAAACCGAGATTGTACCGAATATTTTCCTTGCCTTCGACTCGAAGGGTATTGCTGTGTCCACCGAGATTTATAGATCCTCCAACTCCGCCGACCTTACGACAGATCGAGCAGACGCAAAGCTACGCGAATTGGTGTATAAATCAGAAGGCTTCACGGAGTCCTCAAGCCCGAAGAATACCTGATATGGCACCGGTGTACTCGACTGGACATAGAACTTTACGGAGCCACAGTGGCAGCTACCCTTCAGCTCGACTGGCATTGTCTTGGTTGAAGATGTGTTGCACAAGCGAACTTTAGCTTGCGGTAATAATCGCCGAACCAAGGTATATAAAGCGCTGTTCATGTTTAGATCGTATTATTGAAAAAAATCGTAGGATTATCGCACTTGCAGGAGCTTTGAGCGGGATGGGATGACGGGTCCGTGCGTTATGTGCGCGGTCTGAAATGCGTCGGTGATAGCGGCTAACGCCGAAGGGGTATATAAACCTTATTTTGTGAAATTTTCTACTTCACGAAGAATGCCACGCTGGTCGTTGCGATGACTTCTACCGTCGACACAGTGCCTTAGACTCCTAGAGTCTTCCTTCTTCAAGAGCAACACCAGAGCTAGGAAATGTCTCGGTTCAGATACCCATGTCGGGGCATGTCGATTTTATGCTGGGATAGTCATTTTCGTGTTTGGAGTCGGTACTTTGTAAATAGAGGTGAGCCGCTCTATCAATCAATTTGCTGCTACCCCCTTCTTTGTTACCAATGATTCCAAAATTTAAACTGATTTTAATGAGTCCAACTCGCCCTCGGGTGGGACTGACGACCACTTTATGCTGAGACCTTTGCCTTGCCTCCTTCATTTCCGTCTGTTACCATTACTAACATTCACCTTCGCTAGGTAAAGACTTATATTATTTTACGACCAACTCGCCAACTTGGCATATATATATATAATAAACAACTTATGTTCAAAGCTTTCGTGACCACATTAACACCGACACGACGCAAATGGGGTCCGTTACAAGTCATCAATTGGTCGTCATGAGCTGTCGTCTGCAAGTTCTAAGAGAGACTATCTATGTAAAGAAAAGGGACGCACATAGGAATACATGGGTGGTACCTGGCAACAAGCTATTGATACACTGAAGTTTCATAGATAATATCGAGCATAAGATGAAACCGTCAGTCTGACCGGAGCCGCCTAATCAACGAAGGAACGGGGTATGTGGCTGGACGAAAAGGTTGATCTTGTGAATGGCGCCTGATCGGGGGGTGGTCCAACCTCAGGCCACAGTTGACTGGGTAAAACTTGGGAGCCATTTCGAAGGCACATTTTGATGTGGTCGAGCCAACCCTTCAACAAATCGTACCTATTACCCGCCTCGCCTTCCAAAGGACCTGTCTGCAGCGTCGAATCCTGCATACCCAGCAAGGAGAAATGCGCAAGCCAATACAAGGGCAGCACGTCACAAACGAACGGAGTTTCCAACCCATTTTTTTCAAACTGATTCACTTCCGGGCCGCCGACCCACAATCGCAGCCAGTTGTAAAGCTGATACTGACTCGAAAGGGTGGTTGGTGTTATATATGAATCACCGATGAAGGGGTCTTGGCTCGGATATAAAAATATATCGCGAAGGACGGTGTATATGAGAATGAAGTGGGAAAAGGGATTGAGTGGTGGGGATGGCACTGAAGAACCGACTTTGTTGAGCGTAACAAAGGCGGCCTGCGCAGGTACGCCGGATAGCCGTATTTGCCCAGTTCCATAGGGCGAGGGCGTCTGTAGAGCTTGGAGCCATTCATTGACGCTTCCGGCATTCCACAACGTATCATCACATGGTAGATTTAATTCGAATTCGGACGGAAGGAACGAGGGTGTCGAGGAAAAATTGATACAGTTGGAACAATCCTGCACGTACGCAAGAAATATCGCACTGAGATTGTTTTGAGATATTTTCCGAGAAGCGATCGGAAGACTTACCGCTTGAGCGTTTCATAACGCGCCCAATCCGCCCAACTCCCATCCAAATTATATGAGCTAGTCAAGTCTGGAGGCGTCCAGGAGCTCAAAAGCCTAATTAAACCCGTCCTCCTGATCATCTATGAACCCAGCGCTAAGGAATGCACAGCCCGCCACGGATTTAGGACACACTCACCAGAACCAGAATCCCGTGATACATCTTCGTGGAAGAATTCTGATGAGACTGCGGCCTCAGCAATCCTATCGACTGTAACAAAACGGCCGCCAATATCAGGAAAACCTGGTCCTTGAGGCTACAGCAAGGTTTCGACTAGTAGACTTATGAGTATCACTTTCCTCGGATCAGGTCCGAAGGGCCTACGAATTCCAGGATAAGTGCCTCTTGGGAATCCACCAGTGTCTGGTTGACGAAATCCAACGCCGAAAAGCCCTTCACAAATAGAGCGCCACATGCTTGCATTGCGCGAATCAGAATCGCCGGCTTGCCCTCCATCCTCCACGTTGGACGGTGGATAATTGGAATTTGTGCAGAAAAAGCTGAGAAGAACATATATACTAATTTTGTTTTACCCATTTCCCGTTCAGAAACATAAGGTCGACTCACGGTATTGGGTTAAGTCCTCGGTGGGAACTTCGTCGCCATACAGTATTGCCGAGGAATCATAGGGTACTATGGGCATGGACGTGGTAAAGTGATGTCCTGATACGGAATCGCTTGAAATCGGCAGTTCCAGGGCCGAAAGATCGTGGACCATCCCCCCAGACTTCTCCAGTGGGAAACTGTAGACTGGCGAAAGGTGGTCTTCATTACCAAACGGAGCCCGCGTATCTTTGCCCTCGATCCATCTTTCATAGTCTCTATGAATTCCCAACTCTGGCAAACAGGACGAAATACTGTCATCGATAAGGGGAGCATCAAATCCATCCTTTGAAAAGAACTGCAATTGCGGATCGAGTTCCAAGGCTTGGAAATCCAAGTCAAAGGCGCTCGCTATGCTGACGGGGGTTTCGAAGAGATCCGACGGCGAAGAGGAGCACGAGGAAGACGACGAGGATTGAGAACATTCCAAAAGTCCGAGGCCAGAAGAAGTAGTATCTAGCTGGGTCGTCGATAGAGAGGGGTTAAATGATAGAGTTGGGGATGGGCTGTCGGCGCCCAGCGGATAGAGGATTGAGTATGGGAGAGATGCCGAAGAACTCTGGAATATTGTGCTGTGCGCATCGATGGGGGGCTCTGCAATCGCGGTGTATAAGAGAGGCTTCTGGGAAGCGAGCTTTTTATTTCTAGATGTTTCGGGATCGTTTATAAAAATGCATTCACGTCCGCGGGAAGAGCATTTGGAACAAGGATATTGTAAGTTGCATTTTACTTTGGATTCGGCGCATGCCTTAGAAAGAATTCGGTTTGAGGGGGAAAATCTATGATAGGACTCGCGACGTACTTGACACGATTTGCGCCGCGATTTGTTCATATTTCTGCTGATATCAACGAGAGACAATTAGGGCCATCCTGATGGCACAGTAACATTACGCACGAATCACCGCAGGTGCGTTTATGCCGAGTGAGTAAGTCGCTCCTCGTGAATTCCGCATGACAGACCTAGTGACGTTGATACGACTGAAGGTTAGAAAGAAGGTCGAACATGCGTACGTTGCACCTGTGTGACCGTTCGTTGGTATCTGCATCGAGTCGATAAGAAGTTTGGTAAAGATATCCAGGGAAAGCTTACGTGAACGGAGATGTCGATTTAAATGGGTAGTTCTTGTAAATTTGGCAGGACAGAGCGAACAATACTTGGTCTGGGGGAGAGAAGGCATGTTCCCTCAACCGTGCCCGCGGTTCAACGTTAGATCTCCTTTTGAACAAATCTCAGATAGCATACCTCTATGGTTCCGCATTCGACTCACTTCCCCATTGGCCTTGAGGTCAATGGAGGCCTTCATCAGACCTTCAATGCAAGTGAGATATGTGGTGGTCGTGAACGATTGAAGAAAACCTTCCCAATGAATGCGGAGTTGAGGTATATAAACCCTCGTCTCAGGTTCGTTGCAGGTACTTGGGTTCGAGAAGCGGCCATCGCTAGAGTTATCGTCATCTCTTAAGGGAGACTTAGCCGATGCGCAGAACCTGCATGAAACCCTTGAATGAAGTCGCCAGAATTCACCGTTCCCGGGCCTTGCGGATTCCCAGTAGATCTCGGCAATCGTGCTCTGACATGGGTTTGTTGGTTACGACACGAAAAGCATGGCACTTGTCCCTTGACATCCGAACACTTCGAGCCGTCGGCTAACTGATCGTAGTTCGAACGCCCGTTTTCTGCTGTTTTCTGACGCTGTACTTATTACCACCGCTCTGATTGGCGAGTAACTGAGTGATTGAAATCCTGTCAAAAACAAGTCAGCTCTCGATTTGGATTTATTTTTGGTCCTACTTTGTGGGTGACATCGTTAGATTTCCAAATACGACTGAAAAGTGGCAGCGTCCTTGTCACAGGGGAGAACCGGCTATTTGGCCAATGGGCACATGAGTAAGCAAATGTTGATTGGAGGCATTAATGCTCTCCCATATTCTTCCCATATGCCTACCATGCACATTTGAAATTTAATTCAAGTAAGCTCCAAAATGCAAATATCATGGAATTCCTAGCCACAGAAAAAATATGCCCATTAAAATGGGCTATCATATGTGGCTGATTTGTTTATTTAATATGTGACCACAATGTGCCCAATAGGCGGATTCTGGTCACATGCTTGATGTATCACCATGCTAAAGTAAATATGCACACACAAATGCAATTAACATGGGACTGCTGGGCACATGTATATGACATATCAAATGAAATGCATCCGATGTAATCAGGGGGCAAATTGAAAAGCCACAGAAAAAATGTACCCATCATGCAGGCAAGATGTGGTTGTCATGCACATACTGGAGAAATTTATCATCAGAGCAACATTGAAGTAATGGTAATACTCTGATTACATATAAAATATTCTTCAAATTTGCCCCAGTGGCACATGAAAGAGATATTTTGGTCACATTTAAGATGTAATGCTTCCATTTCCTTCAAAATGAATACAGTATTTTCTGGGCAGTACCATTTATAATAAGCCTGGTGTAGCCATGTGAAAGTATAGTGAATGATAATTTAAGAAAATATACTTGGCATTTACCCAGGAAACACATTGAGAAAGAAAAAAAAATTATTACATGGGGGTAAATTTTGAATTTCTCAAAAAAAGAATGCAGCTGTTGGCTTGGATATTATAGTAAAATTTGGTACCTCTAGTAAAAGTTAGAGAAAGGGGTGGCAGGGTCAACAAGGTATCAATAGACCAGCTTCATTAACTGTCAGTGTCCAAGTGTGGATAATTATTGATAATGGAAAGTGTTAGTGATAACTATTGCATAGTAAGCTATGTATAACATAGTTATCAATGCTAACTAGATAATAGTAAGCTATGGATAATTATTAAGAATGCTAATTTAAGTATGACATCATTATCAACGCTAACTATGATAATAATTGTTGTTATCAATGCTAACTATGGTACCCTAACGACATACACCTATTTAACGACACCTATACTGACATCTATCCTGATCCTCGACGACGAGATGGAGGACTTTTCTAGATCCTCGGTAAGAGTCTCGTCAATGCGTGTAGAGGGTAATTCAAGGGTAATTGCTAGCCTCATGAGGGATAATAAAGAGCAACCTTATAGTTTACCTGACGACTTAGAAGTTAGAGGGCAACCCGTAATAAGTACAGGGAAATGCTTGTCTCAAGATTGTCGTTCCCCATGGTGTCATCGGTCGTTGAGGCGACGCAAGATGTTGATCATGAAGGCATCACATATCGTCCACAGACTGGGGAAACACGCGCAGTTTACGAAATTATTCTTTCCTCTGTGCGTACTGCGCTCGGAGTGCTGCTGATTCCGTGCTCGACACACTCAAAACCGAGGGGACGAAGAATTTTGACAAAAAGAAGGATATTGAGTCATTCCACAAGATCTAACACGAGGTCTTGTCCAGGCTTTGTCATTTGCTAACCACTGACGATTGACTGGTGACTGCTAACCAGGTGGACATCCAGCTCTTGACCACGGCCGGCGATGAAACGGCGGAAGGCGCATTGTGATACGGAGGGACGAGTGAGTTGGGGTAGGGCTTCGAAAATTCGATGATTTACATCGTTTTCGTCGCTTCGCACCGATTAGGCGTGCTGGACCAGGTGCGCCCCAACTCTCCAGAGTTCTCCCAGCGGCGTCG